TGAATATTTTTAAAATTTTAAGCATTTTTTTTTTACTTTTTTACATGCACCTTACTTAGATGTATCTAAAAAGTAAAAAAAAAATTGTGAAAAAATATTTTTAAAATTTAATAAATACATAAAAATAAAAATATTGAATTCTCATTTTTTTTTTTTTTTGTACTTTTGGTATTTAGTGAATTTTTAAAAGATTTTTTTCATAAAAATTGTACTTTTTGTATGTATTTACGTTAGTTGTGTTTAAAAATTTAAAAAAAAAATTGTTAAAAATATTAAAAAAATCAGTAAAAACAAAAAAAAATAAGAAAATAGAATTTTCTAAAATTATTTTTGAAAAATCAAAAACAAGCAATGGTATTTTATCAAGGATCCACCTTCTCTCTAGTTGGGGAAAAAATTGAACCATGTTGTTAGGCCTTATGGGGTTGATTTTGATTATCCGTTTCGTTTAATTGTTATGTTCTTATAGGTAGATCATTCATAATAAAAAAATTAAATTCAATTGTTTCAATTATTACAGTCATACAATTTTTTACATTTATCTTTAAAAAAATTATTATTTATTTTTAAAGTCATACTTATCTTTCATTTTTTAAAAGAGAAATGTAACAACATAATTGAATGGCTACAATTATCATATCTTCAATTATTACAGTTGTACAATTTTTTCACGTCTTTAAAATTTTTAATTTTTTAAAATTATATTTATCTTCTATTTTTTAAAAGTTAACAACGACAACATAATTGTGTGCCTATATTTATTATATTATTTTGACTTTTTATAAATGATTTACACCTAATAACCTAAAAAATAAACGAAACAAATCATCACAACTGTCAACGGGGCCATAAATAGCCCGACAACACAGTCCAATATCTTCTCTCCCAACCAAGAGGAGATGGACTTTTTTGTCAATTTCTTGGCAGGTGGAATTGATAGATTTCGAGAAATTCTATCCACACTATAAAAAAAAATTAGTATACATTATCAACAATGATTCATCCCATTAAAAATAACATCACTAATAGCACTAATGTATTAAAAAAGTAAAAAAAAAATAAAAAAAATACAACTCCAAGACCAAAACATCACATCATTAATGACATGACCCACTGCCACCTAATTAGTGGGAGTACTAATTAGTGGGAGCAAGCATTTTTCATAAATTATTTATGTCGTTTGGATATAAATTTTTTAATATAAATGAGACAAACAAAAAAACAGTTTACGTGAACATTGGCCCCGTTTGGTAGAGCTGTGGGAAAGTGCTTATAGCTTATGCCTAAACAGCTTATAGCTTATAACTTTCAGCTTAAGCTGATTTCCAGCTTATTCTTAAAGCATCTCCTGCCCCACTCAAAGAATAAGCTGTTTTCTGACTTCCACAAAGCTATAAGCTATAAGCTATAAGCTAAACCAAACACATCAAAATAGCTTAAATTAAGCTGAAAGCTGAAATAAGCTGAAATTAAGTTGTACCAAACAGGGCCATTAAACCTTTGTTTGAAATTGTTGTGTATTGAGGATTTTTTTATTTTTTTTTTTAATGTGTAAATAGAATTAGGGAGCATCTATTTACACACACCACTCTCTCTATACACATCTTTCACACACAATTTCTTAACACACTCTCTCATTAAGTGTGTGGGAAGAGAAGATATGGTGTGTGCATATAGAAGCTCCCATAGAATTACCAATGGAAGTCATGGAAGGACTTTTTTAACCCCTTCAGGTTTGGAAACTACCTAAAATAGCTTCTTCTTTTTTTTCTTTCTTTTTTTTATTTATTTATTTATTTATTTATTTTTGCCAAAGAAAAAGAACTACCTAAAATAGTTAGAAGGTCAAGAAGTCATTATCTACTGAGTGGTTATTGGGTACTCCTAGAGCATGGCTATCTAGTGCTCCAAGGTGTTGTGATTAGTGAAGGAGGGTCTATGATTTTGTGTAGGATGATTAAAGAACATAAGGAGACATGGTGTATCATGATTAGTGAAAGAATATGAACACGTGATGCTCTATAAGCATTGAATAGTTTTTCTTACCAAAAACTCAACTCTTCTGTCTAACTTTTTTACACGTCTTTCCGTAAAAAATTAAAAATTAAAAATAGCTAATTCTTAAATATACCAAAAAATATATATATTGAGATCTTTCAAAAAACTCTCATGCTCAGTAATGCTTAGTAGCCTAAAAATTCATGGCTCGAATGACTCGAATGTGTCAAAACGACGTCGTTTTGGAGATAAAACGACATTGTTTTCATACATTCAAGCCATTCGGGCCACACAAATTTGGGACACCAAACATTTTTCTTATCTATAATGGCATGATAGATTATATATCAATTTTTAATTTGTTACAAATTTAATCATGTAAAACTCAAATCTCTTGTCATGTCATTATAAATAAATTATGATTTTCTAGCATTTCTTGTAACACTATCTCAAACAGTAATACTAAGGACCCAAATATAAAAATCCAAAAATTACCTAGAATTTCACATCGCTTCACCATACATTATCTAGAAAAATCCAAGTAAATATGTCATGAGAGCATTTTTCCTACAGTCCTGATTTAGAGCATTAAATTGAAAGTTCTAAAAGGACCACTAATGAGGTGGTAGTGTAAAGGGAAAAACAAAACATTATCACATCAGTGGTGGGATCCACATAATGCCACGTCGTTAATGGTGTATTAGTGGCATGAAGCATTTTTCTTTTTCCCATCTCAAATGAATAAACACTATTTATTTGTGTAAGTCAAACAAATACAAAGAGTGTCATGTGCAATATTAAATAAATTTTTTATTGCCTAGTAGACATGTTTTTAGCACCCAAAAAAATAATAATAATTAATAAAAAAATGTTTACTAATTTTAAAAATTACTTAATTTTTTTTTTCAATTAAATTACAATTTTCATTTTTAGTGAACTTAATTTAATTTTTATTCAAATTAATTTAATTCTAACTTTTTAAATTTTTTCTCTATAAATTTAGAATTCAAATACAACCTCAATCTCTCAATTGCTTGCTTCCTCTGCACTTGGTGGATGCTTATGTGGGTCTCTCATTGTTCAATGCATTGCTCTTTTGCATTTAATCGTAGTAAATGCCTACATATGATAATGTTTCTTACTATACTAGTAGGTATGTTTAAATTCATACATTTATGTATGGAGCCACAACCTTTATTGAATCATAGACCCACCCAAACATTAATTCAACCATGACCCATGATCAATCAAGTTCTAAAACCTAATTAAGGTATATATATTTATTCAGAAATACTAAATACATAAAAAACGGAACATAAAAAAGTACACAAAATATGTTGTGTAATTGAAATTCATCTAAGTGTGGTGTATAGATCATATATAAAAGAAATTTCATTCCACATCACGCTTCGTATGAACTTGGCATTGTTAATATTTGACAAATTTGAGTAACACCATCTCGCATAAATTCAATTGATGATAGAAATAACTTTTCTTCTGTCATTTATGACATTTCACGGCACCCACGAGGGCATTGTGTACAACAACCAACCCTCGCTAACACGACACTTAGGCCACTCAAAACATCCACCACCCCCTCACTCACAATGATGCTTCGGTGACTCAAATCACTCACAATGACAGTGTTGACTCAAATTCATGGCTCTGTATCACTTGTGTGTCCAGTTCCACCATTTCAAACTTCTTAAGCGCTGTCATCATTTATAGTCACTAATGTTATGTTTAATTTGGGAATTTGAGGAGGGATTTAAAAAGAGAAATGAAAAAAGTAGGTGAAATATAAATAAAACATACTTATATTTCACTTAATTTCACACACTTTTTTCATTTCACTTTCTAAATTCCTCCTCAAATCTCTCAACCAAACACAGCGTAAAACCCTATTGCATGAAAACCATTCCCAAAAGTAGCACAAACACTCATCTAGGAGATATTCTTAAAATTTTGCCACGAAAGCCGATACCTTGACACTGTTTAGAGTAGCAGAAATCAATTTTGAGGATTGAAGTAAATCAACATTCAAAAATGAGGTGTTTGTGGAAATGATAACCAAAAAAGGAGAGGAAAATAGGAACCAGAAATTTCGGAAAGGTTGGGATGCTATGATGCAGTGGATTGAAGAATCTGGACCTAATTCTCCTTTAAGACCAGAAACTTGTTCATTGAAAAAGGCACCGGCAAATTACCCTAACATTCCTATAGTTTGAGACTTGTGTCACTTTGATCCCTAATTTTTTAATTGTAACATATTTGATCTTAAATTTTAAATTTTATTCTAAATAAGAACAATTGAAGAAACCATTGCTTAATTTTAAGGATAAAATCGTCAATTTGATAAAATATAAACTAATTTGAAAAAAATAAATATCAAAAAAATATTTTTAAATTTTTAAAAATTATTTCTACTCTTTAAAGATAAAATTATATAAAATTGATAAATTTTTTAGACTTTTTTTTGTGCCAAATTAATTCTTATTATGCATTTAGATTACGATCATATAATGGGTTGTTGTTTTTATTTTCATTAAATTAGTTTCTATTTTTTAAAAAGTCAAATATGACGACAACTTTGATATCATTATTAAACCAATCCATTAAATTAAAAATCCAAAACTAAAAACATTTCATATATTAAATATATCGATTACACATTAAAATCCTAACAACCACCCCTTACATGATCATTATCCAAATACATAATAAAAATTAATTTAAAATAAATAAATGTCTAAAAGGTTTATCAATTTTACATAATTTTATCTTTAGTGGATAGAAATAATTTTTAAAATTTTAAAAATATTTTTTTGACATTAATTTTTGTTAAATTAGTTTATATTTTATCAAATTAACGATTTTACCCTTGAAATTAAGCAATAGTAGCTTCAATTGAAACAAGATTTAAAATTCAAGATCAAATACGTCACAATTAAAAAGTCAAAAACTAAAGTAACACAAGTCCTAAACTATTGGGACTGTTAATATAATTTGCCCAAAAGGAACGCATGTAAACATCTCATTCATAAAAATATGATTGATAAAATTCCCCAAACCCACAGTCGAACTGCAGATTACAAAAAATTTACAGGATATATCATTTTTGGTGGGGAAAAAAAACTATATAATACGAGTACAAAGTGCAGAGTGACGAGGAAATTCATGTAAAGTGTGGTTGACACAAACATTTCAAGAAGTTACCCTATTTACAGCGATGTGTACACTTGAATCACTGAGATGAAACTTCAGTATTTGAAGTAGAGCACTGGGTGACGCCCTCGCAAACATTGCATCTGCAGAGTGGGCATACACTAGAACCAAAAGAATAAGCACAGTCAATATTTATTTTTTTTAATTAAAAAAATGCTTAATAAAATAAAGTGAAGGACAGGACAGTAAAGTGGGCATACCCATGTATTTCTTTAAGCCATTTATCGACACACAACATATGATATTCATGGCGGCAAGGGAGAACTCTTATTTTGTCCCCTTCCTCGTACTCAACCAAACAAATGTGACACCTATTGATCATGTTAAAACCATTTATCAACAAGATGGGATAAACCGAACAATTGGCAGTTACAAGTTAAATAACATGCAAGAACACATTGGCAACTACTGTTGGAATGATTTGATTAGAATTCATGAGTCAGTATTATTATTCAACATGCTGCAAAGTATTGTATTTGTCTTTCAAATGCAAACTCGCTCTTTATGGAATTATTAAGCTATGCTATCTAGTAACTTACTTCCATATCAAATGCAAACTCGCTCTTTATGGAGTTATTAAACTATGTTATCTAGTAACTTACTTCCATAATTTATCTATTTTTATAAAAGTAAACTGCAATGCTTGGATTTAATATTTATACAATCTCTACAGAATATAGCCAAAGCGTTATACTTTCCTTCTTGAAGGATACAAATATAATAGCCAAAGGGTAAATTGTACAAATTATCAAGCTTACAAGTTTAGACAGAACGTTAGAAAATCTCAAAGTAACATGGTTATCTGCTAATAAACAATATTGCTCATGTCCAATGATTTATAAGTTAGAGGAAATTAAAGGCAAAATGGAGAACAACCAGCCCCTATGAGCAATATGGATAACCAATCCTAAATATTAGAGTTAGGGTTTTCCTACACCCTTTGTGAGCACATTAAACAGAGAACGTCAAGTTGAGATCCAGAAAGACGAGTGGCACCTATTTGTACTGCAGTGACATTATCTATGCCACATAGGATAAGTACCGTGGCTCTCATGCAGGTACGACAGAACCGTAATGATAACGCATTCTATCACTATCTCTTTTGTTTTTTTGTTTTTTTTTTTTTCCTTTTTACTTTTTGTTCTTGCTTTGGGGTTATGGGGCTGTTTGCACACGAATGAGCATTTCATTTTCTACAAATTTGGGAGAAAGTGGATCTACGAACTCATACAATTACAAACCCAATTGGGGCAGAAGATTGGATTACTTATCCAAGAGTAAAGATTTTGGTTTACCTTCTCATATACCTTGCCAATTACAATTAACTACTTTGCATATTTTTCTATATTGTCAGTTTAACGTAACCAAGTATGTCCAAACAATTTCCAAGGTTCAACTAAAGTTGCAATGTCTTTTTTTTTTTTTTTGGTCTTCTATATGCTCATGATTATGTCGCCTCAAGGTATGGTGTGACATGCCAGCCAATAATAACACTTCAGAACTAGCATTTATTATATGGATTTGATCTGCCTTACTCCATAAATAGGTAAGCAATGAAACTTACAATACACAAAGCAAACTACATACAAGAATACAAGAAACTTACTGTTCCACATCATTTGGTTCACTTTCAGTTGCATATGACCTTTTGTGATTCTTGAGAGGAAATGAGTCGACAACAGATTCTGGAGCCGGAAATGAGAGCATGGATAGTGAAAGAGACAAAGGTTGCCGATGAATCTCATCCAAAACCTACAGATTGGACAAAAAGAGATTTACTAAAACTGTCAATTTTATTTTTTTTTTTTTGATCGGCTAAAGTCAGTTGTTAGTTGTTGGATTAGCACCTATGAAAGTTAGCCTCCCCACCCTTGCAAACCACTTAGTGCTTGCCTTCTTAATTCAACTTCCCGTAGGGAGAGTTGAAACCGCAAGCTCCGCCTAGGGACTAAGCCCTTAGGAGAAGTATGGTGGCCAACTAGGCTAGGCCTAGTTGGTTCTAAAACTATCAACTCGATCTATAAACGAAATAATGATAAGAATAAATTCAAACACTATCACATTAGACAGAACCAGTAAGAAAAATAAACAAACACATCCTTGGACCTGTCAACAAAAAAAGAAAGAAAGAAAAAACAAATCATCTATGCATAGTAAATGATAAACTAACTCTATCATTCATTCACTTCTTGTAACTATCATTAGCAATATCTCTAATATATTTGCACAGTAGTGATATAGAAGCACTTCATAATCAGGCATCAGCATGTAGATTGGGTGAACCTGTCTTTATATAAATAAGGTAAAACCATAAGGAGACCCTCAGTAGCCGCATAAGCATAGTTGTCTAGTCAGATGTTTGTTATTATGCTAAATAAGAAGGTTAACAACACGAAAAATTCAAGGTATTGAAAAACTAGATAAAGTTTCTATAATCTTGTCAGAGTATTTCTATAAAAGACTAGGTAAACAATTTTTTTATCTTGGTATCAGAAGTAAACTTCAGCGCAATAATTCCATACTGGATGAAATTGCACAACCACAGATTCCAAGACAAAAAGTGACTTATAGGGGTACTCATCTCTCTTGTAAGCCATCCTGACACTGCAAATCACTATTTCCTTAAGACAAATTTGAAGTCAGTCCCTGCTAATTTAGTCCACTTAGTCTTGAACAAACAATTTGTCACATCCATTCTAATTTCAACAAGCCAAATCATTCTAAATAGAATAGTAGAAGATCCAGATTGACATAGGATTTGTCCCTAAACTCAATAACAACCATCATTCTCCAGATGAACTTGTTTTAAGCACCAGATAAAATGGTGACACTAGTGTGAAACAAACTCCCAAGTTCCCAACATCGCCTGGGTACAAAGGGGATGTGTCGTAGCTAAGTGTGAGGGCACCTTCACTTTAGAAGCTAACTTTTAGGGTTGAGTTCTATCCAAAACCGTGACATGTGACATGGTATCAAAGCTGAAGTTAGGGGAGGTCTTGGGTTGAAGCTCTGCATTTGCATTTGTTCCCCGTTAGCAATTATGACATGTGGGACGCTCCTAGTGTTGGCTGATGGGTATGCAATCAGTATAATAATGGCTTAATTCAGTTTGGATTCATCATTCAATTAAAGTTGAGGAACTTCATCTAGGCTCCAGATCGAACCTGGACTTTTAGTGATGGGGAACTAGAGGTTTTGACAAAAGAGAATATTATGCATCCTATCAATTAAAGCTCCCACACTAACACTATAGTAATTGGTATATCTTAGCAGTCAAACTCCCTAGTCACTTTTCCGCACGAAAACTCGGAAAGTGCTCCATGTTCCTGTGTTCAACTGTTAATTTCATTTGTTGTAGTCATGATCATAAACTTCCGTTCACTTCCACAGGTTAACTTTACTTCCACATAACATCCAAAGTTAGCAAAAGTTACACTCTTGCATAGTCAAAATTTCACTTCGATGTGTCGTTTCAATTAGCTTGGAAATGAAACATTTCGGAAAAATAAGGGAAACGGTAAATAATTTTGTAAACACACAAAAGCGTTTTAAAAAAAAACTAAAAGCTATCTAAATGTACATGTAGCCTAATAAATAAATAATTAAACATGTTTGGGATCTATTGACCCATTCACATAACGGCACAAGCGTACAATTTGGTTGTATAATTAATGCAAACTGAAAATCATTAAATTAAAGTCAAATAAATTAAGTGTTTATAATTGTAAATGTGAAGGTTCTTCCCAGATAAGGTTCACAAATATATAGGAAATAATAACACAACTCACTAACAATAATCAATGTCAAAGGAGTTCCTAAGGACAGGGAGGTCATTTTCATAACATGATTAAAAAATACCTTGTAATAAGGTTAAGAATAACATTCAACAAAGATCAAGATAATAAATTTAAAGGGTTTGGTTGGTTGATGATTGGAGGGTAATTTCAAATGCTTTCTTTGTTCTCAAAGCTTTTTATTTTCCATGGTTAAAGGAAAAAAACAAAACCAAATTTGTTCAGAGATTCGTTCAACAAAGATCAAGATAATAAATCTAAAGGATTTGGTTGGTTGATGATTGGAGGGTAATTTCAAATGCTTTCTTTGTTCTCAAAGCTTTTTATTTTCCATGGTTAAAGGAAAAAAACAAAAACAAATTTGTTCAGAGATTCTGATATGTGCAAAAACAAAATCATTGTTTCAATGTGTTTTGAAGTGTTTCAAAGAGTTATGGTTTTTTTCATTTATGTTTTGATAGAAACATTGGAATTTCGGTTTTCCACAATTGTTTCATGCCGGTTTCCTAGGAAACTGAAGCATTATATCATTTCAATGAAAATTAAATGAAATTTTTTTCCTTGTTTCGGTGTAAAAACCAGCCAGACCAAAATCACAACACAAATAGGCTTGTTTTCACTATTAGAAAATTGATCCAACTGGTTCTCGAAAAAATCACACGCATAAACCCAAATAGTGTAAAGGTTTCAATAAGCCACCATTTTGTGCATCAAAACTTTCCTTTCCCTTTAAACTTGGACCAAGAACAAAATACCATCAGGTGTTACTCAGATATTTTGTTAAAAATAAAAAATAAAAATCAGCAGTCACAAAGCATTTTGACATTCCATGGACATGGCATCGCTCCATTGTCCAGGTGCTTCATGAGATAACCTTTTCACTTGGATTCAATATTCTCATGGCAAGTAGACAACAACCATTGGTCATACATGTCCCATAAGCATCAGATAATTTCACAACCTACAGCAGAAAAAATTTCAAAAGGATGGAAAGATACGGATCATAGAGCAGAACATTAAAAGCTAATCAAGTTTAGTTGATGTTCTGCAATATAATTTAGCATATTATTAGCTTCTGAATGCAAAAATTGAGCATAAAAAGTTCAGTCAAACAGTTTAGCCAAAATGAAAGCCACTTGATCAAGGGAATCTACCTCAAACAGGGCCTCGGCAAGCATGACTATCCGTGAAATACTTGCATAAGTACTGGACTCTTCACCCATGAAGAATGCATCACATGAGCAAGTACCATCAGGGTGGAGCCCAGATGCACAGAAAGTAGTTTGCCGACCTCCCTCATCTTGGTCACTTCGGATTCTTTCAGAGATCTGTATGCATAATGCAGATAGGAGATTGTGAAATAGCCTCAAGATGCCAGAGAAATAAGTGCAAATTTTCAGCATGTGATTCTGCTGTTCCATTACACCAGAACAAGAAAGGATAGATAAGTCAATGAAGCGTGATTCGGGGTGGGGGAGGGATATCAAAAAGCAGGAGAATTTGAATGGAAACCAAATACATAATTGCAATCTGCCTTATTACTGGATGATACTACTCATTTATAAGACCTGTATATACAAGCCAATTTCACATGTGGGATACTTAAATCAAGATTGAATTCCTCTCTTTTTTTTTCTTTTCAAGATATATGGCTATAACAACAGTTTTGAAAAATAATAAAATCCATTGGAAGTTCCCAAGCTAATGCAGCCATTCTAATCCATAAAAGTACATATCTTCAAAACATTAATTGAGAGAAAAGGGGGTTGACATCATAGATGACCTTGAAAATCCATTCATTCAGAAAAGTGGCAGATATGATATGCATTGGTCAAATTCGTATAAAAAAATTATAAAAAAATTATAAAAAAAACTTGATAAATCACACAAGTTACGCCTCCGTTAACTTCCACCTAAAATTTGAAAATTACAGATTTCCCCGCCATTACAATCAATCATAACAAACAATGTAAGTATCACTTATTCAAAAAGACCAGAATGGCCCAACCCCAATGGGTAAAAAAAGGCCTTCTAGTATCTTACTAATCTGAAATCAATTTGCAAATAAAATCGCTTTCTACAGCGGGGCAGAATGTTCCGAATAGAAGTTAATCAAAGTGAATCTTTTGAGAATTTTGAAAATGATTTGTGTCATTATTTGAAGTACCCAATAAAAATGAGTCAACAAGAACTCAACTTTTATAAATTTCATTACTTCACAAGATTTTAGAATCCCAAATTTTCTACAGGGATATTTTGGCAATTCAAATATGAAACAAGAAGGAATTACATAAAATATCACCTCAGATCCTAATTGCCATCGACGTTCATTTCTGTCATGCCTTCTGGTGCCCAGGGATTCGGACTCGCGGCCAACTCCATCATAATGAAGATCACCACTCAAATCAAGTAACCATCTGTCATGAGATCCTAGATCATCAGCATGACCTGCTGTGAAAACTATAGTGGGGGAATCACTATGCCTTCTAAAACTACGTCTCGATAAAGCATCCCAAAATAGTCTTCTACTATTCCTTCTTGCCTCACGATTACTTATTTCAGCAATGCTACTAGACAAAATGTTGGAAGAGATACTCACCACATCAACATGAAGTGAACTTCCAGTTCTCAGATCGTCATCAGTATCAGACACAAGGAATCCTGAACCAGAAGGAGTCGCCACTTGAGCGGAATCATCTCCAAACAACTGAAGACTCCATAAAGCATCAGAAAGAACAGAAACAGACTCAGAATTAGTACTGATGCCCATAACTGAAATATCATGATTTTCAACAGAATGCCCATGAGAATGCTCCTGTGCCACAAAACTTGAATGTCTGTCCTCTGGACAAATCAAAGACACAGTTGTGTTTGCTGAATTATCAGTCTCAGCAGCTGCATTGAATCCAATACTTGAATTTGCAGAAATCAATTCTAGATGTGGCTGTTCTTCATGGGAAGTACTAGCTGTAGGACTATTCTTATCTAAATAAGCTCCATTGCAATTACAGTTAGTATTAGCATTTACCTGTGTAGAAACTGATTCCTTACTCCTACATGCCTCAATATTTCTCAATCGATGTTCAACAAAGTTATCCTCAAAGGAACCCATACTGCTTCCGGACGAGGCTCCAACTTCAGTTTCGGAAGCATTAAACCTAGTTTCTGAACCAAAGATTGCAGATGATTCTTCCCCGGAGCTCCGTGATTGATCACTAACAGGAGCTAAATTTTCCACAGAACTTATTGGGGATTTATTTGGATATTCTTCCATCTGCAGCAAAAAATGCTAAACCTGTCAATCTCATTTTCAAAATTAGTTTATGCACATAGTTTTTATTCATTGAAGAACTTCATGTCATAAAAGTATGTCGAAGGGAACAATAACTAGCAATAATTCATCTCAGAATGTTACCAAGTCTCTCATAACTATGGCACTTTCAATTGAAGTTTGGTTCAAGTTAATGCTCTGTTTGGTTCACTAGAATGAAGTGTAATGGAATGATCATTACAACATAATGTCTATTCTCACGTTTGGTTCACTATGGCTCCGTTTGTTTCGACGTAAATTATTGTACACAAAAAAAATATATTTTTCTTGTAAATTGATTTTATATAGAAAAAATATTTTTGTTTTTGTTTTTTGGCATTTAGTTGACACTTGAAACAAAAATATTTATTACCTAAAAGAGAAATTTCAATTCGATAAAATAAAGTGTCATTTATAACTTTTTAATGAGTTAAGTTATTTATTTAAAAATGCTAAATGTGTTAAAAAGATAGTGAGTGAGAGTCAACTTTGTAAACATTGACTTACAAAATTTTTAAAGGTAAGTCATTTTATAAAAAAAAATATGATGCAGAAATATATTTCTTAAAAAAATGACAAAAAATGAGTCAAATACTACGTCAAACAAATGGAACCTAAATAAATGATAAAAAAATATCCTCATTCACAATTATAAAGGAATGGTCATTGCATGGAGAAGCCAAAGAATAACCATTCTATTCCATTTCATGTTATTTTATTCCAGTGAAGGCTCAAGTTCTAAAATATGTACATTTTAAGTAATCTTGGATGCATAGGGAGCTTTGTTGGTTTGGATTTACTTCTAGTTTTCTACAAAACAAATTTTGCACTCTATTTAAATAATTCTCGCAAGAAACCCCAAAAAGAAATAAAAATTAGATAATTAATATAAATAGGAAAGACAACAAAAAGATTAGGTAAAAACTTCTTTTAAACGACCAAAAATCACACAAAAGAAAAACAAAGAAATTGGGTGCAGATGATCATCAACAAAGAGGGTCCCATCCCATCCCATCCAGTCCCACCAATTCAAAAATTCACCCCAAAAAAAAAAAGACCTGATGAATGAATTCCTAAACATAAACCCAAAAAATAAAATCAAAATTGAAATGACTGAATTGAAGAAGTATCAATCTGAAGCTTTGAAACATGAAATGCAAAAGGGTTTGTTACAGATATGTATATATACATATAGATAGATAGATGTGAATAATAATACCAGAGAGGGAGGTGATTGGGATTGGGAAGTGGAGGCACCGCAGATGAGAGAAAAGAGGATGCGTTTGGTGAGATTGGGGCTGGTGGACTCAGATGGGCGGTGTGCCATGCGACTGTTGCTCGAACCCATCTGGCTCTCAGCTCAACTCAAGCAATGGATGATTTTATAGAGAGAGAGAGAGAGAGAGAGAGAGAGAGAGTTTTGGAGAGAGAATTGGAAAAGATGGAAATTTGAGGGAGTGGGGCAGGATCAAGGACTTGAAAAAGTCGTCTGGGTCATAACTAGGAAATGTCGTAGGAAACCGGTGAGAGATAGAGCCTGAGTGTGAGAGAGATTCTCTACTTTGTCCCCCACTCTTTTCTTTTCTTTTTTCCCTGTTAAGGCTATGTTTGGTAGAGATTTTTTTTAAGTTAAAAATTGATAATTAAAAAACAGAAATTAAAAATATTCATTCTTTAATTTTTAAATAATTAATTTTTTTAGTTTATTTAATCTATTTTTACCTAATAAACTATAATCAAGAGGGAATTTTTTTTTTGAGTTGTGCTACGTAGCTCGAAAAGAGGTGCCCTCGAATCCCCTGAATCCAAAAACGACGTCGTTTCGTCGTTTGAAATTTTTTTTTTTTCATTCAAAAAAGAAGAAAGAAGAAGAAGAAGGAAGAAGAAGGAGGAAGAAGAAGATAGCTGCGGTGAGCGGAGGCAGAGGCGGCGGGTGGGGGCTAGAGGCAGATGCAGGGGGCAAATGCAGGGGTGGAGGCGGATGCAGAGGCGAGGGCTGCGAGGCAGAGGTGGAGGCGACAGCGGAGGCGGGGCTGCGACAATCGAGCGGAGGCGGGGCTGCGACGATCGAGCGGAGGGCTGCGACGACCTGCCTCCTCTTCCCCTCTCTTCTCTTTCTCTCTCTCTCTTCTCTTCTCTTTCGGGCTGTTTGGGGGCACAAAATTGTGGGGAAAAATCATTTTTCTTTTTTTTTTAAGGTCCTTAATATTAAGGCCTGGTTTGGCATCTTTAAAAAAATACAAAAAATTAAAAAGTTACTAAAAAGGTTAAAAATTTATCACTATTCACCAAAAAAATATAAAAAACAAATTTACACAAAAAAAAAATACAATCCAAAAAGTCATTGACGTGATGGAGACCAGGTGGTACAAATTACCTAATCGGCTGCACACAAAAATTACAATAAACTGTGTTGTTTGGCCCGTGGGGCCTACCATGGGTCCCATTTTGATAATCGAACTGTTTAATATGTAGAACTAGTCAAGTACTATATGCTTGTAAAAAAATCAAGTTGATTGGATATCGATAGCTATGTGATCAAATCAGATTTTTTTCAATCGTTTATTTTCAATCGTCCATTTTTTATATAAAACTGATTTGATCACATAGCTATCGAGATCCGATCAACGTGATTTTTTAGAAGCATATATTATTTGACGAGTTCTATACATTGACGGTTCGGATTATTGAAATAGAACCCGTGATAGGCCCCTCCAGTTCGATGAAAGACTAGAGAAAAGCCTCATCCTATATATATAAATTTGAAGCCCCACCACACAATTCAAATCATTCCGTACTGCTTCCTTCAATAGTCATTGTCACTATGCATAAGGCATAGGGGTAAAATGGTAATTTTTTATTTTAATACACATTTTTTCGTAAAAAGTCAAAAAGTTATTCCAAACAACCATCTTTTTTAACTCAATTTTTTAGTCAAAAAATTCAAAAAGTGCACTTATTTAGGACATCCCGAACAACCTCTAAGAGTTTATAAGATAAAGGACATGTAATATTTTTATAGTAGTTGGGATCTTTCAAACAAAATTCTTTGTATTTTGAAATTTTTCTAATTTAAATTTTTTGTGATTTGTTTAATTTCTCTGATTTTCTGTGTTTTTAAATTTATCTAACAATAATGTTTGAGAGCTCTAATTTAAGAGTTCTAATAAAGCTTTAATGATGGGTCTCACATGATGATGTGATGTTTTGGCTTGTTTTTTTTTTTTTTTTTGACACCTCACTAGAGCTCATGTTAGAGCTCTAGTGCTAAAAGTCTCTACCACTACCCTTTCTTTAATTTGCTCATAAACTTTTTTGTATTTTGACTAATTTTTTCTGATTTACTCATAATTTTCTATGTGTTTTGAACAGGAATGGCAAGGGGCCGAGGATTTCACCCCCCGTTCTCGATTCCCGAAGGTATGAAATTCCTCGTCCCCGTCCCAATCCCCGACGGGGAACTCATCACCCCCGCCCTCGCCCCCTAATGGGATTGGGTTTCTCCGACCCCGAAAAATCCCTGAACTTTTTGTTAAATTTTTTGTGCATATCCCATTTTATTTATTTATTTTTTTAAGGCAAATAAAAATAATATATATAAAAACATAATCTAGTAATGTCCAAACATAAACATTCAAACAATAACAACATGACAAACAAGACACAAAATAACATCCACACCACACCCAAAAAAAGAAAAAACCATTTGTGAATTTTGCAAAGTAACATGCACAATTAACATTATTAGCTAGGTTAACTTCTAAAATCAATAAGCATCTCTCAAATATATTCCCTGGATCCATAGTAATACACACACGCACATATATATATATAGGTATAATAGTAATTTCAGTTCGGGGTGGAAACGGGGCCAGGGACGGAGACGGGCCAGGGGAATCTATCACCGTCCCTAGCCTTAAATTTGTTGGGGATTCATTTTCGAATACTATCCCCGGCCCGTTAGGGGTATTTTTTGAAAAAAAAAAATCATTCTAATCGGGTCGGAGAGACGGGTCCTTGTCAAGTCGATTCAAATTGCCATCCCTAATTTTGAACAAATCAAAGAAAATTGAGTTACTCATAAACCAAAAACAAAGAATTAAATTACCAAAGCTAAAGCTAGATGAAGAAAACGAAGCAGCATTCAATGCGTTTGGTTTGAGTTTTGTGGATTAAATTTTTTGAAAATTGACTTTTTTTATTTTCGTGTTTTTTTGTTTTTAGCGAATATTTTTTAAATTTTAAATATTTTTTTACTTTTTTAGATACACCTTACTTAGATGTATCTAAAAAGTAAAAAACTTGTGAAAAAATATTTAAAAAAATTAATAAATACATAAAAATATAAAAAATGTACCGAATTCTTATTTTTTTGTATTTTTGGTATTTAGTGAATTTTTAAAAGATTTTTTTTACTTTTTAAGTGTATTTATGTTTTGTGTGCCTAAAAAGTAAAAAAATTACTTAAAATATTAAAAAAATTCAATAAAAATAAAAATAATAAAAATATTTAAAAAATATTTTTTGAGAAGCGCAAACAAACAAGGTGATTAGTGTTCACATCTTCATTATAAGATAATTTTAATCAAAAAAAAAAAAAAAGTAATCATTTAGTAGTCCTGTGTCCTCTTTTTCATCTCCATTTTCGTCTCTCTCCAAAATCTCTATCAACCCCCCTCTCTCTCTCTTCAATAGTCGTGGCTCCAAAGTTACCATCCTCTCTCTCTCTCTCTCTCTCTCTCTCTCTCTCTCTCTCTCTAATTTTCTATACGTATACTATATATAACCACATTAAGCTACATTTCTTCACACCATTCATTTTCTATCTCTTCCTTTACACATTCTTGTTTCAACAATAGAAGACAATCACAAACTTGCTTTAGAAGATTTCTCTCTATACTCTGGAGACGCAGACGACGATATCTCTCTTTGTAACCTCCCAATTCAAGGCTACAAGTTCGAAGGCCCCTGTCGCGGAAGCAATTCCTCCGATGAAGATCGATTCGAGTTCTGTGGCGGTACAAACTCCGAATTGAGCCGAAACAACAGCGTCGTCTTCTATGGAAGCAACGTTAATCATGAGATCGAGTATTGGAAGCGAGATTTCTCGAGCTTGGATTTAAGCAATTATTCGAAGTAGACTCATAAACAGATGAAGAACCTTGGGTTATAAAAAAAAAATATATTGTAGACCCCTTTTATTATTAAAAGTTAAAAATAAATGTTAGACTAAATATTTCTAAGCAAAAACGGCACCAAGTAATCTGACACAGAAACTTTCAAATTAAAATGAGTTATTATATGTCTTTTTAGTGATTTTATTTGCACCGAAATTGTATCTCAGTATACCCAATAAAAAATTAAAATTTTAGTTACTATTTGTGACGACCCCACGTTAATGGTTAGCACTTAATTAATTAAGAAAATTGAATTTTAATCGCCAATTATTCTAATCTAATCCAGGGTTTATGAAAAATTATGAAGGCTGATTCGTATGTGATTCTACGAAAGATTTATTTTAGAATTAGAAATTGAAAGTCGAAGTGGTTCAAGATAGTACAAATGGTGAATTGAATTATTTAATTTCGAGTATCGGACCGTATGGGAGTTTAATTAAATATTCAATTCGAATTTTAAAATTGAGATTTGATTAATTGAGTCCGAATTGGAATTAATTAAGTAATGAGAATTAGGAATTAAGGTTATTATGAGTTAAATATATTTGTGAGGTATTCAATTGAGTATGTAATTTATTGGCAAAGACTTTGAAGTTTAATATGAAATTGAAGATCTTAATGATTTAAGGAACCAAAATTGAGGATGGAAATAAATTTAAGTTGATATTTGGAGCCTTTTAAAAGTTTGATTAAAAATCTGATTCGGATTGATAAATTTAAATATATTTAATTAGGCTCTAATGAAAGTCAATTAGACTAATTAAATTATTTAGGATTTGAGATTAGTTATAATTAACTAATTTTGTGTTAACCAAGATTTATTAAGACTAAGTGTTGCTTAATTAAAATTTATCCTAAGCATAAATTGCCTTAGGGAACAAACTAGAATTGTGGGTGTTGGTGCACTGAGAAATTTAGTTGGGTGTGCTGAGAAATTTGGTTATGATTTGTGAGTGTGAGTGTATGTGTACGTGCAAGGAGGAATGCAATAAATGATATATATAAATGTAAGGCTCTGCTAGAGAGCTCTAATTAGAGCTCCTCAAAAGCAGCTCTAATGAGCTGTCACCCTTTAAAAAAAATAAAAAATAAATAAAGGGCGGTAAAAGACAAAACAGGAAGGGAAAAAAGACAAATTAATGCCCTTTTAGAGCTCTAATTTTAGAGGTCTCACTCATTTCTGATAAATGTATTAATATATGAGTTCTAGAATGGAAAACATAGAGTTAGAGAAAAGGAGAGAGAAATCGTGAGAGAGAGAGAGAGAGAGAGAAAAGAGAAGGGGAGAGAGAGAGCCTATTCAA